ACTTAAGATTTTAGCCACATGTCCCTTGTTGTAATTAGAAAAACTCATTTTCTTTGACAATTGTGCTCTTTGTTTTATATTTTTTTATTTCTTTAGATAGTGTTGAGTAGTATATTCAAGTTCTATATAATATAAGCATAAACCTTATTGATAGTATCATTTTATTTTTATTTTTATTTTTATTTTTTTTTAAATAAGAAGCTTGAAACATATTGCATCAATTTGTATAGATTATAGTCTTAATAAATAAGCTTCTATTAACTTAGAGGTTGTTGCTATGGCTTGATTAATACTTCTTCAACCAAATCTTTATTCTTGGTATTTTTCAAAAAGTGAATTATTGTATGCAATGGCTTGAGTATTAAATTTTTTTAATGAGCCTATTCTTAGCATTTATAACAATAAATCTTTGACATTATCTTTAAATCCATATAAAAATTGATTGATAAGGATTTTGTCATTTCAATCTATATTACAAGCAAGATTTGGAATTTTGTAACATATATGATAGCTAAATGCATCCTTATTGTAAAGATATAAATTAGGCTTTATTATTCTTTTTCAATTAATTTCTCTAAAAGTAGGACTAAATACTTCTAAAAATAAATTTAGATCATAGTAAAGACATGAATCTTTTTTCATCAAAGATGCAAAGCAAAGAAAGCATTTTCAGAAAAAAGTGGACATATGAATCCAACTTTAGTAAATCCATTAGAATATTGAGAGGAATGCAATCTTAAATAGAGCTTTATTTTTTGTAGAAATCTTCAAAATTTTGATCTAATTCCATTAATTTTTTTAAGAATACTTATCCTTGTCTCTCTCATATTTGGAATAACAACACTTCTTTGATTTAATTATAAGCTTGATTTACTTGCTTCTATTAATTGTACAACTTCTTTTTATAAACTTTAAACTTTGTTGTTGACTTCTTCTATAAGTATCAAAATATTACATCTATGTTGATGTTAGAGATACGTGAGATTTACACCCTTAGAGTATTCATAAGCTTGTGAAGATCTGTAATAGTTGCAAATCTATTCTCTCTTCTATAAAGAATAGTATGAATAATTTTTTCTTCTATAGATAATTTAAATAAATTTTAAAAGTCAGGTTAGAGGATGGTAATCTACAACCTCTAATATCAATTGAAAATTTCCACAAAAAAATAGTCTATTCTTTTTAAGAAAAAAAAATCATTATTAAAAAAAAAAAAAAAAAAAAAAATTTAAAGGTAGGTAGTCCACAATCTTCAAAATATAATAATAGAAGTGAAATAATGCATTCATTTTTAATACAAAACATGGATAAACTAGACCACAAATGCTACAAAGTTGGAGAGGGCCATCAAAGAAGAATAAAAATTATTCATAAATAATAGAATATGGAAATTGATTCAACTTCTATCAAATCAATCTTCTATCAAAGATATGAATTTCAAAGAAAAAAAATTTCAATATACTCTTGTATCACTTGAAAAGACTAAAAAATTAGTCAAAGTTAGTAATATATTCAATTAAAATATCTATTACCAAAGACAAGAAGATTAGAAAGACTTGAGACAAGACTAAGGACTAGAAAAGAATTGACAAGAATAAAGAAGGCTTCATTCTTGCCTCCACATATACTATTTAATTTAAAGCTATGTAGCAATGTTTTATAGGACCTCTAACACATGTTGACTTTATAATATATATTTTATAACTTATAAGGAATTTTTTTTATATATATACACTATATATTTAGCTTGTTCTATAACCTAACAATATGTATAATATATGAGTAACTTCTTGACAAAGTTTTTAACCTATCAATCAACTAAAAACATGTGTAAATTCAAAGCCGCATATATGAAGGTTTTAAAAAGCTTCTTTAAAAGACTTTATGAAATTAATCTATATGTACCTACTTTTACTTAATTATATAGATAATTATTGGAATAAATACATATATTTGTGACATCTTCAATTTGTTGTAAGTGCATGTTTAGAATCAAAAGAGGTGCAATAGACAATGTTGTAAGATACAAGGCTAGATTAATTTTTGAAGACTACTCATAAGTTATTGATACTGATTTCAATGAGGTATTTGTTCTTATGGCCAAATTCATCACCATTTGAACTATTGTAGCAATTGAGATAGTAATGGACTTGGAGATGCATTAAATGGATGTAAAGATGGCTTTCTTGAATGAAAATTTAAAAGAAAAAATTGGCAAGAATCAACCTCAAAGATCTATTAAAGAAGACAAATGACATCTTGTTTGTAAGTTGAAAAAGTCTTTATATGGGCTTAATCAAACACAAAGGGCATAGTACCAACATATTAACATATTCTTTGTAAATAAAAGATTTGTAAGAAGTGAGATTAATCATTATATATATATATATATATGTATATATATATATATATATAATGCAATCAAATGAATTCTTATTCATTATCATTCTCTATGTTAATGATTTGATTATCTTAATAAATACTTTAAAAATGATCAATTGATTAAAGACAAAGTTAAAAAAAGGTATGAGATGAATGATTTGGAAGAGCTTTACTACTATTTAGAAATAAGATTTGTAAAAGATTGTACTAATAAGTCTAATACAATGAGCATAAACAAGTACATTAAAGAGGTGTTGAAACAATTCACCTTGGAGAAATGTAAGCCTACTAGAATATCCTTGGAGGCCAATTTGAAGTTAATGAAGTTCATAGATAAAAAGTTTATTGAAGTTGAATAAAAAAAAGAATGTCTTCAATACAAGATAGTAGTAGGCTCTTTATATATGCAATAGTTGGCACAAGAATGGATCTTACATATGCAATGAGTATTGTGAACCAACACATATCATAGGTTGGATCAATCAATATGACAATCATCAAAAGGATCATGAGGTACTTAAAAGGCACTTTGTACTTCAATTGTATCTTGAAAGCAATAACATTACTTTGCATGGTTGTTGTAATGTAAAGTGGATTAAAGATGCAAATAATAGAAGGTCAAAATAGGATATTTTTTCTTTGTTGGAATAGACAATATTTCATAGAATTACAAGAAACAATCAACAATTATAAGATCAATAATGGAAGCAAAATATATAGCAGTAAACCATGTTACAATAGAAACAATATAGTTAGGATAGTTTTTGAAGGATATTAGAGTAGTGCAATTAGAAGCAACTCCAATGAAGTATAACAATCAAAGATATCTTATTATTGCAAAGAATCCAAAGTATCATTCAAAGATTAAGTATATTGACATTTAACATCACTTTAAAAGAGAGAAGATTGAAACGAAAGTGATTGACATGAAGTATTGTACAATAAAGGACATGTTTGTTGATTTATTGACAAAGATATTAGTGAAGGGTAGACATCACATACTAATAAAGGTAAAAAGATTGAAAGTCTTTCACCAATAGCAAAGTAAAAATGTTAAAATAAATAAATAAAAATAAAAGTAGAATAAGATAACTTGTAGAAGATATTACTTAAGGTATGTTGCTAATGGTCAAAGAATTGGCTCTTAGTTTGGGAAAAGATTAAGAGACAAGGTAAATAAATAGACAAAAGTTCTTAGGGATATAAATGATATATTAAAAATATATTCTTATAGTAGATAAGATATCAATAGATAGTCTTGATAGAATCTTATATGGATGTATTCATCAAAAGATGGAAGTTGTCTATTATAATAGCAACCACCACCTATAAATAAGGAATATTAAAAGTACGAATTATCTTATTCTATATTCTCTTTGTATACAACTTTGCTAATATTATATGTTGTGATTTTATATTTCTTTTTCTTTAATATTTTTTAAGATATTAAAAAAATTATATAAATTACATTAAACATGTAATTATTCATCAAATATATTTTAAAATCAAATATAAATATATTATATCTTACATATGTGTACTTAATGAGCATGTTTTTAAATATATATAAATATTTTTTATTTTAAAAACATACAATTTTATATCTAGCTAAATAATTGTATTCATAGCATAATATTATGTTATATATATGAATCAATTAGGTTTTAGTTTATGATTTAAAATAAATTAAATACCTTCTAATAAATAAATAATAATCATCATAATAATTATTTATATTGATAATATAAATTAGTAATTATTTTGTAGTAGGAATCCTTATCTTTTATTATTAGAAAATTAAATATTTAATTTTTTACAATTCTTCTTAAAAGTAAATATTCTAAAAAATAAAGTTTTTGAACAAAATCATTTTTTTCAATTTAAATGTGTCTTTTCTATTGTGATTAAGATTTGATAAAATAAATTCTTCAACAATATAAAAAAATAATTTTAAGGTATTTATTTTTATTTCACAACATAATATTAAATTCTATTTTTTTTGAATTTTCATTTAGAATCAAACTTTAATGTTTTAATGATAGAATTCTTTTTTCTTTTTTTAAAAAAATTTCTTTCCACCAATACGTGCCATGACTTCATGAATATTAAAATAGGAAATCCAACATGGATAGAAAAGTTTATAATTTAATTAATTAATTTATTTATTTTTGTCATTACTATTTCTAAATGCAGCATGAACCACGTGCAGAGTACATGGATAATGTTACGTTAACAACACATCATAAAATTGTCACTGCAACACACAGTTTGGAGTACTTGGGTGCATTATTGCATAAATTATTAGGATGATTCCACACACAGACACTTGTGAATATATATATATATATATATATATGTGTGTGTGTGTGTGTGCGCGCTTGCAGTGTTACAGATTCATTCAAGGTAAACTTCTTAGAGAATTGTCTAAACCAAATTATCTATATCGTTAACTTTTGTTTATTGGGTTTAGTAATGTCATTTTTAAAGAAGAATTTTTGCCTGTTCAATCACTCTCAACATGCAAGGCTTTCAAATCTCTTGCAGGAGAATAAATAAGCATTCTGAAGGTTTGATTTGGAAAATAATGTAAAGCTAATGACAAATGGAGTGCACAGGCATAAGTCAAAGCAACACAGTGTATAGTCTTGGTGAAACAACAAAGATCGAAGGGCCATAAATATGCCACTCTTCCAAGGTTGAGTTGCAAGTTACTTACATGGAGCCAGTCAAAAGTTGCTGCCGCACTTTTTATTAAATTTCGTAGTGAACATTTCCTGCACATCCAACTTGTAGGGTTTAAAATCTTTAAAACAATTAAAAAATTCGGAAATAACAATAACAACAACCATAATTATTAAAATAATGAACAAAACATCTGGTTTCCTTGACTTCACTGCCATCTATGCCAAACTTGTCAATATATCTGGGGCAAGGAAATAGAAAACACTTTGCAAGGTGGACACCACGAGGGTTAGAAAGTTTTCTCTACTTGTCACTGAATGAATATTTGATATGGAAAACAAGACAAACCCGACATGGTCGCTTATGCCACATTTTGCAGCCTCATAGCGTGTAGAGCAACGACAAAGTGAATAAAATCCCCAATGGTATAATCCAGAGCATTATTTCTCTGGTTTTGACCATTCCAGAGACTCCACATGGTTCATTTCCGAGTAGCTCTGAGCTCTGTTCATAATTCGAGCAACGACTTAGACCTTAAAACGCTGCTTTGACCCTGTTGTCACTCATCCCTCCTAATCTCCAGGCAACCAAAACGCTAAATATGATGGCTATCGAATTGAACTGTTATACCCAGGTTGGATCACTCAGACTACTTCCGGTTACATACCGAAGTGTTGTTTGCGTGTCCACAATCAAAGTCACCATCCAAGACAAAATTCACGGTTTATGAACCAGCAAGCCCCGAGACCCGCATTAGTTGATTATTAGCAATGAAAAGAAGGAAAATGGAAAGGATGCTGTCACCAGCATCGTCATCACTATAAATAGAAATTCAATGCACATACTCCAGCTAAGCAGTCTAACAATAGAACGGTTTCCTCTTACTTAGGTCCTTCCAGACACCTTCATGCCGCCTCGCTAGAAGTAGTGCATTCTCATCCAGTTTTGAAAGGCTTGTGCAGTGATCACCACATATCCAGAGATCCTTCTAGAGTATTAAAAGCTGCGGTCCGATAAGTATAATATAGATCCTGAGAGCTGCAACCGGATTTCTTTCCACACCGATTCAAAGATGGCTTCATGAAGTAAAGGAACAGCCTTCAGAAAACCTCCCATCAAGTAGCCCAAGACAAGTAAATCTGCTACAGAATGATAAGCCCTTCCACAAACTCTTCAGTTTACTATTGTAGCCACCATTGACGGTTTCCCCTTCTTAGTCGTAAAAGAATCGCTACTAGGACTTTGACTTAGTTTTTTTCATTGTGAATAGCTAACTTGAGTTTTCAAAACACGGTCGTGCAATTACCTGCTTACCTCATAGGACAAATCCAGAGGACGTTTGGAAATTAAGTCACTGAATCAAAATGGGTGTGCTGCACTCCATAAGCCACGCACTACTGCCAGATGTTCAAAAACTACACCTCCCAAATCCCGCGAAGGCCAGACTCTGGCCAAGATGGCACTCTCATATTCGAATGAAAAGCATGCGTTTGCATGTATCATACAAAACCTCCAAGAATGGAACTGAAGAAACCACTTCACGCAGGAATACATAGTTGGAATGCTCATGTTTATATTTAAATACGTATTGCGATGAGGCTTATAAAATCCAACATTACCTTGTAGACAAGTGGAGCGCTCGTATGCCTCTTCATGCGTTCATTTTTGGATGAAATTGCACCTGAAAATGTGTCAGTGTGCTTGTTGTTGAGTTTTTCATTCTAGATGCACCAGACATTTTGTGTACACTACATGGAATCCAAAAGCATGCACTCTGAAGCACCTACATTATTTATAATTATCATGTTTTCACACAGATGTAATTAAATAAGGATCTAATGCGCTGCACACGGGGACATTGATAATCAGGAACAAGGAGAGGCGCTGAAAGTCCTATTGACAATATCCAAGTATCTCAGAAATAACTGATCAGCATGATTTTTAGAGGTTACGAAGGTTGTTCGATTTGAACCTGACGCGCAAGCCAACTGCCAAGCCAACTGAATAGCAGAGACTGTGACTTGTCCATGATCCACCATTTCTTGCTCCTTTCTACCAGCTATACTTTTGATTCCGTCTCGGATGGTTAGTCGACAACTTATCAATGTCATACAGTTTGAATTGGCAACTTAAAAAACAATTAGCAACGTAACCTGAAGGGTACGGACTGCTTCCTTTTCAACTCTTCTAGACTCATGACAATAAACAAAACCAACCTAAATCCCACTCCATAAGACTGCATAAGCTCTCTTACCAAACATGAATTTCTATAGTCGCCGAAGACGATGGAAATTTAGCTATACATCAACAGAAAGAGACAGAACATGCCTCATCTGGCTTCCAGCTTAACATAATCCAGAGCCTGAATGCCATCCTGAAATTCCACTCCCGATCCCCTTCCTCATCAAGCTTCAAGCAGCTCTCGCTCCGCCCGATGAACTAGATCTTCCACGTTACAGATTGAGAGTTTAAACTCTGATCAGCTGCAATCACCATCAAGCACACAAATTACACAAAACTCCCGTCGAAATCTTGGAACTTAAGGTCGAACGCATCGTTATACCCTAACACTTCCGGCAGGTCTTCAAGAGCTCGCGAAATTCCATGAAATTTCTTCCTCAGACTCGATAATTGCTACTGATTTGAATGCGAGTTGATCATCAGCAAGGTATGGACTCAATGGCCTCGTCCTCATTACACCTTGAACGTCGAATTCTACAGCTTGCCATGACTGCGACGAATCAAACTGCAGACGCATCTACGACGCCCTCGTCCACGGCTATAGACTCGGTACTTCATGCGGTGACCGATAACCGGTACACTGTTGGATGATTGATGCTCATATCATGACGATCCATCCATATACATCCCACAATTCATTTGAAAGTCGATGAGATTCGAACTTTCAATCGTAGCCTTCGATCAGGTCTTGTGACGGAGACGGTGAGGATGGGATTATAAGTGAACGTGTCGAATGGCCGTCAGAGGCGGGTTTAGGGTTTGGCGCTCACAAAGGCTGAGGGCGTTGCTCACAGTTGCCCTCTTTGTTGTAATCCCTGTTGCTGCTTTGGAGAAGTTCCGGATTGACGCGGGAAGAGCGGCACCATGACGACCCGGCTGAAGAAGAACAGGAAGAAAAGGGGTCACGTCAGTGCCGGACATGGTCGTGTGGGAAAGCACCGCAAGCATCCAGGAGGTCGTGGTAATGCTGGAGGTATGCACCACCACCGGATCTTGTTCGATAAGTACCATCCAGGGTACTTTGGCAAGGTCGGTATGCGATACTTCCACAAGACGATGAACAAGTTCCACTGCCCCATTGTCAACATTGACAAGTTGTGGTCTCTGGTGCCTGAGGCTGTGAAGGAGAACGCTGACGGAGAAAAGAGTGCGCCTCTGTTGGATGTGACGCAACACGGGTTCTTCAAGGTTCTTGGAAAGGGTGACTTGCCCGCGCAACCCATGGTTGTGAAGGCTAAATTCTTCTCCAAGCTCGCGGAGAAGAAGATCAAGGAGGCCGGTGGTGCTGTCATTTTGACTGCTTAGTGTGTCGAAAAGACTGTCACGTTTAGGAGATTGTTACGAAAGCATTATTTTGGCGTACAATCAGTTTTACTGAAATTAATGTTCCATCGTGAAGGATGGGTTCCGTCTCGTTTCAGGCCTCATGTCTTGGTATCCCTACTCTAATGACGGATTTCACTTCGAATATTTCTTTCTCTGTTACTTAAATACATTCTTATTTAGTTCTGTTTCGGAATGGCGTGATTGCGCTTGAATGGGTAGATGTGTAGGATTTTTTGTGTAATCGTCACTACCTGGTTACAGGGTTTCATATCTTGGATTGCATATTAGAATTTAAAAAAATGTAGAATGGTTCTTAAAATCCCTCTTTGGTATAAATGGATGAAACAGAATTGTGCGATACAGGTGATACCTTTTATGCTGACTGTGTCCCACTGGTAAGTCTAATTGTATAACTCCTAAACCCTAGCTGATTACCTTGTCGTCGCAGGACTAGCAGTTAGGTTTTGGTTACCTGAACTTATTGATAGTCTGCATCAGCAGGAGTAGTATTATACCACACGCTCATCAAAAAAATTTTATCATGCTCAGTTGCTAATGGCTTCAGTTTGACTAGGATAAAGAAGCTGTGAGTATATAATGGAGTTACATTTTGGTATGTATCCTGCGCGGTGTTCATTATTGCCTCACAGAGGTCACAGTTTTAACATAGGTACTACGTCATTTACAATGTTAGACATAACATCCTTTCTAGATTTCATATTGTTCAGGCTGGTTAATCTAGTTTTCCCGCAGGTCAACGGACATTCTCCTGGGCTGTCCGAATGTGCGTTTCAGCGTAGCACTACCTCTTCCTTAATCATGAGCTGCATACATTCTCCTTTCTCCTGCTCCAGAAGGATTTGTTAAGTATGCCAAATGTTCCTAAGTGGAGGATATGTATCGGTCATGTAACCTCAGCTTTAAGTCGCATGTGTTCAAGTACATCACTGTTATCGTATGATAAGCTCGCGAGAATGATGTTTCTTTTCAGCGCTGCATCATTCCTTATGCCCGCCCATCACGCTAATTGTCTTTGACGCTCGGCGTCAATGTGCTACGTGCCAGTGACGGGAGCTCCAATAACCGGCAAGGTTCTGTAAATGTGGTTGTTTGTGTATGACGTCCATCACATATTGTGACACTCGTAGGTCCCATTTGTTGTCTTACTGTCGTGCCACTCCGAGTGTTTCTCACTTTTCAACACGTCCTTCTGAGGACGGGTTTATGCCCTGCACCTCACATTCTGGATAAACCGGTATAGCACAGAAGTAGCACTTTCGGCATTTGATTGTTCCTACATATTCTGGCGTTGGGAATAGTGTAAGTTTGGACTTCGGTGAATCTTTCTATGTGAGGAGCTTCTAGTCATCACAAATCTATGACTCCTACTGTTGTTTCTAGTCCACAGGATGCAGATATTGTAGAACGCCTCAGAGTACAGAGTACAGCTCGCTTGTTGGGCTATTCTTTCATTCTTTACTCCTTTGTGCCATTAGGGTGGCCAGGTTATTGTGATTTTTTGCGTTGTAAATATTTGTGGATGCAGAGGGCGTTAATATTCAATTATTGCAATTACTCTCGAGTCGTAAATATACTACTGACTGGCAAGTCGCAACATGATATCTCTATCTGATGTTTGTTTCGTGTCTCAGTTATGTGTGGTTGATCTCTTGCTCGCTTCAACAAAATACTAAACTTTGCCTAATGTTTCTTACATTCTCATATGCACAGATTTCGGAACATGAGCGGGACGTCTGTGTCGTCTACTTCTTGATGACTGGAATCAATGTAGGACTTGGTCTACCTATGTAAATATACACACGATACGAAGCTTTGAAGCGGGAAAGAGGTCTCCACAACCACTCAAAATTGAAAAATGTTCTCTAGTTTGTGAATTAATTTCCTGTTGGCCCCACAGGCATTAAATGGCACCACCAAATGATTCTACCCTAACTTCAATTGGATCAGCATACCTGCTGAAGCGTCTCGGTCCTCGGGCAATCTGCATTCTGCAATGAAGCATCAAAATACCAAGTCAATACTTCCTTGTGAAGTCAGACGTTTTTGCTCCATATCCACATTCAGCTTCTTGACTTGGACTTGCAGGGGGGGCGACGAGCGAAAAACACAGTGGCCCAAAAGGAAACAATCCAAATACAAACTCGCGCACGCGGCTCCTCTCCCGCATGTTTGAAAGTCTCGATATTCACCTCGGAGTGATGGACGCAGCTAGCTTCACTCCGAAGATTGGTAGGAGTATTCCGAAGCATCTCGTCTCTAACAAATGAGAATGGTGATCTCCTCCACTGAAATTACGTGAGACGAGATGGTAATGAACTCGTCTTGAACAGTTTATTCGCCATGAGACTCTTGTGGTGCGGTGATAGTTGACTCTTGTGAACGTTTCTTCCTTGTGCGAGGGCTTTCATCCAGAAGTGAGCGAGGATGTATTTCATTACATTCATCCAATTGTCGACTGAAGCTGAGGATGAACATCTCGTCTGACCAACGGATGGGGCGTTAAGATGGATGATGTTTTCTTCACGTGTTAAATTTCATCTTCAATGTGTTATAATTCATGTACAGACATAAATGTGTAGTTCTTGTTGAGATCATTAAATGTAGCCGGTCCTCTCCATAATATTTATTGTAGACTATAGTAAATACCATAACTATAGTAAATACTATAACTATAGTAAATACTATAACTATAGTAAATACTATAACTATAGTAAATACTATAACTATAGTATTTAGAGTCTAGTGGAGAAGTACTGTTTATCCTCTCCTCTTTTCTCTTCTTGTATACGAGACACAACTAGATGAATAGATTTTTATGTGTAAAGCTCTCTCTTCTTAGAAATCCTCTTGTGTGTATGACTTACTACTACTCTTACGTGTGTGTATGACTTACTATTATTCTTGTGTTTTTCTAAACATTCTCAACACGTTATCAGCACAACTCTCTTCTACACACTATCACAATTTTTTGCTTTAGTCTTTGACTATTCAAACCTTTTGCTATCCTTACTCAGTGTCTCCCTCATGATCTAGTTCTTCTTGCTGGCCCCACACATTAGATGCTTGCTTAGAGCACTTGTTCTACTCTCTGCCTTGCTTGCTTAGAATACTTGATCCAGTCCAACTCCACCCCAGCTTGCTCCCTTCTCCTTGCTGCGCCCCATGCTTGCCATCAAACAGTCGTTGACTTGCCGCCAAATCTGCCACTGCTGCCACTGCTGTCCACCGCCATTGCCGCCCTATTACCGTTGCCGCTACCGCTGCCGCCATTGTTGCTGTCCGTCATTGCCGCCTGTCGTTGACCACCGCTGCCCATCACTGTTGTCTGCCACTGCCCACCACTGCCACCCTGTTGTCCTATCACTGTCGTATTACGTGCTTTCCTGCTCGAGAACGCGCCGGGCGTCTGGCTGTAGAAGGTAGTATGGAGATTCACCGATAGTCAAGCAGTCTATTAGTTTCTGACTGCTAGAATATAAGCGACTGCAACAATGTACAGTAAATCTATACGGATGCTCTTCGACTGCTTGTCGAAGTCCTTTTTGCCCCAGCCGGTAGGTCTCTAGACATTACAGAGAACCCCGTACAACCCAAATTGTTAATCTTCAATACTGCTTTGTACTTACGATCTTGTATCCACTGACTGTCTTGTTAGATTAACCCAATAAATTTCATTCACTCCGCATACTCAACCCTATAGACACCCTTTTAATCCTTCAATCACAGACGTAACTCGATTTCATAAAACAGTCAAGAGTATTCAAACCCACTTCATTTAAAAATCCCGATTCACCATTACAATACTGACTTCAGCAGCGAGTGTCTAAGTCTTTCCAAAACTCTACGAAGAAGAAAAATCCAAATTCTATGTCTTTCCTTCCCCGACCCGAAGCATGAAGCTCCACTCTCTAATTTCCTTGATCTTCAAAAAAAAAAAAACTCCAATGAAAACCGAACTGGTAACCTTGCAGAAGCTTGAAAAACTCGCTCCCCCCGATTCCCCGATTTCCCCTCAAAAAAAAAAAAAATCCACACCCCTCCAAAACTATATCCCCCCTAACCTTATCCTCTGAATTTCTTCAATCTTCCGTCTTAGATCCGGAATTGGCTCCCACCTCAAGCTTGGATCCGAAATTGGCTTACGTCATCAAGGCCTTCTCCTCCGTTTTTACCTTTAAGAGATCCATTTACTATAAACAACGTTCCCTGAAACGGCACAGAGAACAGGACAATCCGAAACAGAATCGAACCCCGTAATCGGGACCACATTGAGTCGCCCGACCAATTCAGGTCCTATATTGGGAAAGATGCTCCCGTAATTGGATCAAATTGGTCCTCGCGTCAGATTGGCTAAGACCCGTAGTAAGACCTGGATTTCTCGTAATTGGACCACATTGAGTCGCCCGACCAATTTAGGTCTCATATTGGATAAGAGGATCCGGATTGGATTATCGAAATTGGATCCAATTGGCTCCTCGAACCCGTCGTGTGAATTGGTCCTTCTCTTCCTGCTGACTCCCGTTATTGGAATCGAACGGGGCATTTCAGTATGCCCCGGCTGACTGTAACGGAGTCACTGAATCAGACCACTCAGTATTTGTACTGGAGTTGGTCGATGCTCCCAATATTCGAGGTAACTGAATATTAATAAAATTCCCCTTTCTTTTTATTTTCACTGTATACTCGTGTTACAATACGACATCCACCCCCTCTGAACCTGTGCATCCTCCGGTATGCACCAATTTACCCAATTGCTGTTTGATTCAGAATATATCCCCTACGTCTTTGTCCAGTTCGTCTTCGTCACCTTCATTATCCATATCACTTTCATCTTCTTGCTGCGGAATCTCTGTACCTTCATTAAGGTCTTCCATATTCATCTCTGCGTGTCTTCGTTTAAATATTTTTACTCTCTTCCCTGCAATTGATATTTTCAATTTTGTACCATCTAACTCCCGTAATGAGTAAGTCGCATTATCATGAACAGTTGTTACAACATATGGTCCAAACCAACGTTTTGAAAATTTCCGCAAAGTACTATGTTGATTATCCAGACTATTGTTATAAACAAGTACCCAGTCACCTTCCTCGATTGCTTTTGGTCTCAATCGATGTTGCTTATCGAATCGCGCCTTGTTTTGTAACCTTGCTCTTTTTAACCTTTCC